CTTCAAACTCTTCTATCTATCTATCTATCTATCTATCTATCTGCTTCAAACTTTTCATATCTATCTATCTATTCAAACTTTTCATATCTATCTATCTATCAAACTATCTTCATATCTATCTATCTATCTATCTATCTGCTTCAAACTTTCCATCATCTATCTGTCTCCAAACTTTTCATCTATCTATCTATCTATCTATCTATCTATCTGCTCTGCTCAAACTTTTCATATGTATCTGCTTCTATCTATCTTTTCTATCTATCTATCTATCTATCTATCTATCTATCTATCTATCTATCTATCTATCTATCTATCTATCTCTCTATCTGCTTCAAACTTTTCATATCTATCTATCTATCTATCTATCTATCTATCTATCTATCTATCTGCTTCAAACGTTTTCTATCATCTATCTGCTTCAAACTTTTCTATACTATCTATCTATCTGCTTCTATCTTTCATATCTATCTATCTATCTATCTATCTATCTCTCTGCTTCAAACTTTCATATCTATCTATCTATCTGCTTCTAAATTTTCATATCTATCTATCTATCTATCTATCTATCTATCTATCTGCTTCAGACTTTTCATATCTATCTATCTATCTGCTTCAAACCTTTCATATCTATCTATCTATCTATCTATCTATTTTTCTGCTTCAAACTTTTCATATCTATCTATCTATCTATCTATCTATCTATATATCCATCTATCTATCTGCTTCAAACTTTTTCTTATCTATCTATCTATCTAATCATCTATCTATCTGCTTCTTTTCAAATATATCTATCCTATCTATCTATCTGCTCTAACTTTTCATATCTATCTATCTATCTGCTTCAAACTTTTCATATCTATCTATCTATCTATCTATCTATCTATCTCTCTATCTTTCAAATCTTTTCATATCTATCTATCTATCTATCTTCTAAAATTTCTATCTATCTATCTATCTATCTATCTATCTATCTATCTATCTATCTATCTATCTGCTTCATACTCATTCATATATCTATCTATCTATCTGCTTCAAACCTTCATATCTATCTATCTATCTATCTATCTGCTATCTATCAAATCTTTCATATCTATCTATCTATCTCTATCTTTCATATCTATCTATCTATCTATCTATCTATCTATCTATCTATCTATCTTCTTCAAACTTTTCAACCTCTATCTATCTAAACTTTTCTATCTATCTATCTATCTATCTGCTTCAAACTTTTCATATCTATGTTCTTCAATCTTTTCATCTATCTATCTATCTATCTATCTATCTATCTATCTATCTATCTATCTATCAAACTTTTCCACCTCTATGTATCTATCTATCTGCTCTAACTTTCATATCTATCTATCTTCAAATTTTTCATATATCTATCTATCTATCTATCTATCTATCTATCTATCTATCTATCTATCTATCTGCTTCCAAACTTTTCTATCTATCTTCTATCTCTCTTTTCATATCTATCTTCTTCTATCTTTTCATATCTATCTATCTATCTATCTATCTATCTATCTATCTATCTGCTTCAAACTTTTCATATCTATCTGCTTCAAACTTTTCATATCTATCTATCTATCTATCTATCTATCTATCTAAACTTTATCTATCTATCTATCTATCTATCTAACTATTTCATATCTATCTATCTATCTTCAAACTTTCATATCTATCTATCTATCTATCTATCTGCTTTATCTAATTTCCATTTCTATCTATCTTCAAACTTTTCACATCTATCTATCTATCTATCTATCTATCTATCTATCTATCTGCTCCAAACTTTTCATATCTATCTATCTGCTTCAAACTTTTCATATCTATCTATCTATCTATCTATCTATCTATCTATCTATCTATCTATCTATCTATCTGCTTCAAACTTTTCATATCTATCTATCTATCTATCTATCTATCTATCTATCTATCTATCTATCTGCTTCAAACTTTTCATATCTATCTGCTTCAAACTTTTCATATCTATCTGCTTCAAACTTTTCATATCTATCTATCTATCTATCTATCTATCTATCTGCTTCAAACTTTTCATATCTATCTATCTATCTATCTCTATCTTTTTCTATCTATCTATCTATCTATCTATCTATCTATCTATCTATCTATCTATCTATCTATCTATCTATCTATCATATCTATCTATCTATCTATCTAAACCTTTCTATCTATCTATCTATCTATCTATCTATCTATCTATCTATCTATCTATCTTTACATCTATCTATCTGCTTCAAACTTTCATATCTATCTATCTATCTATCTATCTATTTCTATCTATCTATCTATCTATCTATCTGCTATCTTTTCCTATCTATCTATCTATCTGCTTCATACTTTTCATATCTATCTATCTATCTATCTATCTGCTTCTAACTATTCATATCTATCTATCTATCTATCTATCTATCTGCTTCTATCTACTATTTCATATCTATCTATCTATCTGCTTCAAAACTTTCATATCTATCTATCTATCTATCTTTCTATCTATCTATCTATCTATCTATCTATCTATCTGCTTCAAAATCTATCTATCTATCTTCCTTTCATATCTATCTATCTATCTATCTATCTCTATCTATCTATCTATCTCTCTAACTTTTCATATCTATCTGCTTCAAACTTTCATATCTATCTATCTATCTGCTTCAAACTTTTCTCATATCTATCTATCTATCTAACTTTCTATCTATCTATCTGCTCTATCTATCTATCTATCTATCTGCTTCAAACTTTCTTTTCTATCTATCTATCTATCTATCTATCTTCAAATTTATCTATCTATCTATCTTATTTATCTATCTATCTATCTATCTATCTATCTATCTATCTATCTATCTATCTATCTATTCTAACTTTTCTATCTATCTATCTTCTAACTATTTCTATCTCTATCTATCTTTTCTATCTATCTATCTATCTATCTACTATTCATATCTATCTGCTTCAAACTTTTCTATATCTATCTATCTATCTATCTATCTGCTTCAAACTTTCATATCTATCTGTCTATCTAACTATCTTCTATCTATCTGCTTCATCTTTCTATCTATCTATCTATCTATCTATCTGCTTCAAACTATCTATCTATCTGCTTCAAACTTTTCATCTATCTATCTATCTATCTATCTATCTATCTATCTGTTTAAACTTTTCATATCTATCTCTTCCAAACTTTTCATATCTATCTATCTATCTATCTATCTATCTATCTATCTATCTATCTCTCTATCTTCATCTATCAATCTTTTCATTCATTTTCATCTATCTATCTATCTATCTGCTTCAAACTTTTCATATCTATCTTATTTCAAACTTTTCATATCTATCTATCTATCTATCTATCTATCTATCTATCTATTCATCTATCTATCTATTCATCTCTCTCTGCTTCAAACTTTTCATCTATCTATCTATCTATCTGCTTCAAAATTTTCATCTATCTATCTATCTATCTATCTATCTATCTGCTTCAGACTTTTCATATCTATCTATCTATCTGCTTCAAACCTTTCATATCTATCTATCTATCTATCTATCTATCTATCTATCTATCTATCTGCTTCAAACTTTTCATATCTATCTATCTGCTTCAAACTTTTCATATCTATCTATCTATCTATCTATCTATCTATCTATCTATCTATCTATCTGCATCAAACTTTTCATATCTATCTGCTTCAAACTTTTCATATCTATCAATCTATCTATCTATCTATCTATCTATCTATCTATCTGCTTCAAACTTTTCATATCTATCTATCTATCTGCTTCAAACTTTTCATATCTATCTATCTATCTATCTATCTATCTATCTGCTTTAAAATTTTCTATCTATCTATCTATCTCTCTTCTTAATCCTTTCATATCTATCTATCTATCTATCTATCTATCTATCTATCTATATCTATCTATCTGCTTCAAATTTTTCTTATCTGTCTATCTATCTGCTTCAAACTTTTCATATCTATCTATCTATCTATCTATCTATCTATCTATCTATCTATCTATCTATCTAATCTATCTCTCTATTTATCTATCTATCTATCTATCTAACTTTCATATCTATCTATCCTTCTAAATTTTCATATTTCCATCTATCTATCTATCTATCTATCTATATCTATCTATCTATCTATCTATCTGCTTCAATCTTTTCATATCTATCTATCTATCTATCTATCTATCTATTTTTCTGCTTCAAACTTTTCATATCTATCTATCTATCTATCTATCTATATATCCATCTATCTATCTGCTTCAAACTTTTCATATCTATCTATCTAATCATCTATCTATATGCTTCAAACTTTTCATATATATCTATCTATCCATCTATCTATCTGCTTCAAACTTTTCATACTATCTATCTATCTGCTTCAAACTTTTCATGCTATCTATCTATCTATCTCTCTCTCTGCTTCAAACTTTTCATATCTATCTATCTATCTGCTTCAAAATTTTCATATCTATCTATCTGCTTCAAACTTTTCATATCTATCTATTCTAACTTTTCTATCTATCTATCTATCTATCTATCTGCTATCTATTTTTTCTATATCTATCTATCTTCTTAACCTTTCATATCTATCTATCTATCTATCTATCTGCTTCAAACTTTTCATTCTATCTGTATTCTAACATTTCATATCTATCTACCTATCTATCTATCTATCTGCTTCAAACTTTTCATATCTATCTGCTTCAAACCTTTCATATCTATCTATCTATCTATCTATCTATCTATCTATCTATCTTCTTCAAACTCTTCATATCTATCTGCTTCAAACTTTTCATATCTATCTATCTATCTATCTATCTATCTATCTATCTATCTATCTATCTAACTTTTCTATCTATCTGCTTCAAACTTTTTATCATATCTATCTATCTATCTGTTTCCAAACTTTTCTATCTATGTGCTTCAAACTTTTCATATCTATCTATCTATCTATCTATCTATCTATCTAAATCATTTCATATCTATCTATCTTCAAACTTTTCATATCTATCTATCTATCTCTCTCTATCAAACTTTTTCATATCTATCTATCTATCTATCTATCTATCTGCTTCAAACTTTTCTATCTATCTATCTTCAAATTTTCATATCTATCTATCTATCTATCTATTTCAAACTTTTCATTATCTATCTATCTTCTATCTTTTATCATATCTATCTATCTATCTATCTATCTATCTATCTAAACTTTTCTATCTATCTATCTATCTATCTATCTATCTATCTATCTATCTATCTATCTATCTATCTATCTATCAAACTTTACATATCTATCTATTTTTTCAATTTTCTATATCTATCTATCTATCTATCTATCTATCTATCTATCTATCTATCTGCTTCTAACTTTTCATTATCTATCTATCTATCTATCTATCTATCTATTTTCTGCTTCAACTTTTTCATATCTATCTATCTATCTATCTATCCAACTATCTATCTGCTTCAAACTTTTCTATCTATCTATCTATCTATCTATCTGCTTCTAAAGTTTTCATATCTATCTATCTATCTATCTATCTATCTATCTATCTTTACAAATCTATCTATCTATCTATCTTCAAACTTTCATATCTATCTATCTGCTTTAAAATTTTCTAACATTTCTATCTATCTATCTATCTATCTATCTATCTATCTATCTATCTGCTTCTAACATTTCATATCTATCTATCTTCTTCACTTTTCATTATCTCATCTATCTATCTATCTGTTAACTTTCATATCTATCTATTCTAACTATTTCTATCTATCTATCTATCTATCTATCTATCTATCTATCTATCTGCTTCAAACTTTTCATATCTATCTGTCTATCCTTTCTTCTATCTATCTATCTATCTATCTATCTATCTATCTATCTATCTATCTATCTATTTTCTTCTATCTCTATCTATCTATCTGCTTCAAACTTTCTATCTATCTATCTATCTATCTATCTATCTATCTATCTATCTATCTCAAACTAAACTTTCTATATCTATCTATCTATCTGCTTCTAAACTTTTCATATCTATCTGCTTTCCAAATTTTATCTATCTATCTATCTATCTATCTATCTATCTATCTATCTGCTTCAAATCTTTTCATATCTATCTGCTATCAAACTTTTCTATCTATCTATCTATCTATCTCCTTCAAACTCTATCTATCTATATATATATCTATCTATCTATCTATTCTAACTTTTCATATCTATCTATCTAATTTTCTATCTATCTATCTATCTATCTATCTGCTATCTATCTTTCTATCTATCTATCTTCAAACTTTTCATATCTATCTATCTATCTAACTTTCATCTATCTATCTATCTATCTATCTGCTAATCTATCTTTTCATATCTATCTGCTTAAACTTTTCATCATCTATCTATCTATCTATCTATCTATCTATCTATCTAAACTTTTCTATCTATCTGCTTCAAACTTTTCATCTCTATCTATCTATCTATCTATCTATCTATCTATCTATCTGCTTCAAACTTTCTATCTATCTATCTATCTATCTATCTTCAAACTTTTCATATCTATCTATCTATCTATCTATCTATCTATCTATCTATCTTTCTATCTATCTTCAAAATCTTTCATATCTATCTATCTATCTATCTATCTATCTATCTATCTATCTATCTATAATCTTTTCATATATCTATCTATCTATCTAACTTTCTCATCTATCTATCTATCTATCTATCTATCTTTCTATCTATCTATCTATCTATCTATCTATCTGCTTCAAACATTTTTATCTATCTATCTATCTATCTGCTTCAAACTTTTCATATCTATCTATCTATCTAACCTTTTCATATCCAACTCATCTATCTATCTATCTATCTATCTATCTTTTTTTTTCTATCTATCTATCTATCTATCTATCTATCTGCTTCATCTTTTCATATCTATCTGCTTCAAACTTTTCTTCTATCTATCTATCTATCTATCTATCTATCTATCTGCTTCAAACTCTTTCTATCTATCTATCTATCTATCAAACTATTCATATCTATCTATCTATCTATCTTCTATCTATCTATCTATCTGCTTCAAACTTTCATATCTATCTCTATCTATCTTTCTCTATCTATCTATCTATCTATCTATCTATCTATCTATACTGCTTCAAACTATTATCTATCTATCTATCTATCTATCTATCTATCTATCTATCTGCTATCATCTATTTCTATCTATCTGCTTCAAACCTTTCTATCTATCTATCTATCTGCTTCAAACCTTTCATATCTATCTATGTATCTATCTATCTATCTATCTATCTATCTATCTATCTATCTATCTGCTTCACATTTTCATATCTATCTGCTCTAACTTTTCATATCTATCTATCTATCTATCTATCTATCTATCTATCTATCTATCTATCTATCTATCTTCAAAGTTTCATATCTATCTATCTTCCAAACTTTTCTATCTATCTATCTATCTATCTATCTATCTTTCAAATTTTTCATATCTATCTATCTTCAAACTTTTCATATCTATCTGCATCTATCTTTTCTATCTATCTATCTGCTTCAAACTTTTCATATCTATCTATCTATCTAACTTTTCATATCTATCTATCTATCTATCTATCTGCTTCAAACTTTTCTATCTATCTATCTATTCAAACTTTCTATCTATCATCTATCTATCTATCTATCTATCTATCTATCTATCTGTTTCTATCTAATCTTTTCATCTATCTATCTATCTATCTATCTATCTATCTGTCTAATCTATCTATCTATATCTATCTATCTATCTAACTTTTCATATCTCTCTGCTATCTTTTCTATCTATCTATCTATCTGCTTCTATCTTTCATATCTATCTATCTATCTATCTATCTATCTATCTATCTATCTATCTATCTATCTGCTTCAAACTTTTCATATATATCTGCTTCAAACCTTTCATATCTATCTATCTGCTTCAAACCTTTCATATCTATCTATGTATCTATCTATCTATGTATCTATCTATGTATCTATCTGTCTATCTGCTTCACTTTTTCATATCTATCTGCTTCAAACTTTTCATATCTATCTATCTATCTATCTATCTATCTATCTGCTTCAAACTTTTCATATCTATCTGCTTCAAACTTTTCATATCTATCTATCTATCTATCTTCTTCAAACTTTTCATATCTATCTTCTTCAAACTTTTCATATCTATCTGCTTCAAACTTTTCATATCTATCTATCTGCTTCAAACTTTTCATATCTATGTGCTTCAAACTTTTCATATCTATCTATCTGTCTATCTATCTATCTGCTTCAAACTTTTCATATCTATCTGCTTCAAACTTTTCATATCTATCTATCTATCTATCTGCTTCAAACTTTTCATATCTATTAGCTTCAAACTTTTCATATCTATCTATCTATCTATCTACCTGCTTCAGATTTTTCATATCTATCTATCTATTTATCTATCTATCTATCTCCTTCAAACTTTTCATATCTATCTGCTTCAAACCTTTCATATCTATCTATCTGCTTCAAACATTTAATATCTAAATATCTATCTATCTGCTTCAAACGTTTCATATCTATCTGCTTGAAACTTTTCATATCTATCTATCTATCTGCTTCAAACTGTTCATATCTATCAGCTTCAAACTTTTCATATCTATCTGCTTCAAACATTTCATATCTATCTATCTATCTATCTATCTGCTTCAAACTTTTCATATATCTATCTATCTATCTATCTATCTATCTATCTATCTATCTGCTTCAAACTTTTCATATCTATCTGCTTCAAACCTTTCATATCTATCTATCTGCTTCAAACTTTTCATATCTATCTATCTATCTATCTATCTATATATCTGCTTCAAACTTTTCATATCTATCTATCTATCTATCTTCATATCTTTTCATTTTCTATCTATCTGCTTCAAACTTTTCATATCTATCTATCTATCTATCTATCTATCTATATATCTGCTTCAAACTTTTCATATCTATCTGCTTCAAACTTTTCATATCTATCTATCTATCTATCTATCTATCTTCTTCAAACTTTTCATATCTATCTGCTTCAAACTTTTCATATCTATCTATCTATCTGCTTCAAACTTTTCATATCTATGTGCTTCAAACTTTTCATATCTATCTATCTATCTGCTTCAAACTTTTCATATCTATCTGCTTCAAACTTTTCATATCTATCTATCTATCTATCTATCTATCTAATCTATCTATCTATCTATCTGCTTCAAACTTTTCATATCTATCTATCTCTCTGCTTTTCAAAACTATTTCTGTATCTATCTATCTATCTATCTGCTTTAAACTTTTCATATCTATCTATCTATCTGCTTTAAACTTTTCATATCTATCTATCTATCTATTTCAGACGGTTCATATCTATTTCAAACTTTTCATTCCAATCTATTTTAAACAGTTCATATCAGTGTATTTCAAAATGTTATTATCAATATATTTTAAAATGTTCATATCTATATAACTATTTCAATCTGTTCATATCATTCTATATCAAATTTACTTACATGTCAATCCCTGTATCTATTTCAAAATGTTCTTATCCATCTATGAGTAATTGTTCTAATCTATTTCACCTTTGCATATCTATCTATCTATCTATCATTATTTTTATTATATATATATATGTTTCAAAATGAGTTTACTGTTCATTTCCAATTTAAAATTGTTAATATATGTTTATCTACAACTATTTCAAACTTTTACTGAAGAACCCTAATTGAAATAGGCACACAGTTTTTGTGTCAGTCAATGTGTATTACGTTTACCAAGCAGTTAACTTAAGAAAACCTAACACAAGGAATATGCAGGGTTCAAACCTACGTACAAAATTTATTTATTTCTCTCTGTCTCTTTCTCTCTCATACATTCTCCTTCTTTCTTCCATTTTTTCTGTCGCAATCATATTTATCTCTACTAACCCATGAAAATATTTATGTATAAATTTGTAATTTTTGTTATCGAGTAAACAGATGTAGATATTCTAGTTGGCATACAAAGCTTACTGGAAGGTTTAGATACCCGCCCATAGGTTTTAAATGAAATCTTACTCATTATTAAACGCAGATTGTGTGTGTGTGTGTGTGTGTGTGTGTGTGTGTGTGTGTGTGTGTAACGTTTATATATTGGATCGGATTTCCTACATTTTTCAACCGATTTCAACAAAACTTCACAGGATTACATAGAATTACCTTGTGGTGGTTCTAACAGCGCCAAAAATGGGAAAAATATAATTGTTTCTGCACAAAATCAATTTGAAAACACGATTAAGAGACATCATTAAAATGGAAGGGGACAACTCACTCTCAGGTTGTTTGTGTGTGGGTTCCTTTAAATATGGGAGCGGATTTCCTATATTTTCAGCCGATAAAACAAAACATCACTTTTTTTTTGGCAGGTAGTGTTTCTTATTCTCTTGCATACTTTTTTCTTTATTTTTAACATTCACAATGCTTTAAAAATTCCATTTACAAGACAATTATTTATAATAAAATTCTATTCAATCGGGAGACTCATAACGATTGAAAACAATTTTTTGTTTGAGTTTGGGTTTGACCAATTCGTAAAAAATAATAATAAAAAAAAACAACTAATTAAGATATGCGTGTCCGTCAACCTTAAACAATAATCTAACGATCTCTACTGATTGTACGAATACAAACATCGGAATAAATTATTTATATTTAGGGAAAGATAATGAAATCTAAACATACACAAGTCTAACTAAAAATAATAACCGGAACGGGAAACTACTTTAAATACACATGGTGTCCAATTTTTTTACTGTATTCAATAAGCAAAAATCATAAATTGTAAAAGATTATTATTACAGAAAGGCTACTAAATGAATAAGATTTCTTAGATCATAATTAATAAACCCAAATAAAGTTAATATTTTTTGTATTAGAAACAACGAGTGGAAAATATATTCAAATCAGAATTCTAATTATGAATCACCACAAGCAAAATATGCAATTTTTTTTACTGTATTCAATAAGTAAAAATCATAAATTGTAAAACTAAAAGATTACAGAAAGGCTACCTACATTTTCAAAAGATTTCAACAAAACTTCACTTTTATTTTGGCATGTGTATTTTTTTGCAACTTTTTTTATTTTACATTCAATTCTATTTACAAGACAATTGTTTATAATAAAAATTCTATTCAATCAGTAGAGACTCATAACGATTGAAAACAATATTTTTGTTTGAGTTTAGGTTTGACCAATTCCTAAAAAAAAAAAAAAACTAATTAAGACATGCGTGTCCGTCAATTTTAAACAATAATCTTTGTCAATTTTATTTTTCAGTCTTTATGATGTAAGAATTAATGAACCAATCAAAATCAGGGCGTCTATTTTAAAAGCTGGTTTGCACTAGAAATAATATTTGATATTATACACACACAGACACACACACACACATATATATATATATTTATATATAACATATATATATATATATATATATATATATATATATATATATATATATACATATATATATATATATATACACATATATACATATATATACATGCATACATATATATATATATATATATATATATATACATATATATATATATATACATATATATATATACATATATATATATACATATATATATATATATATATATATATATATATATACATATATATATACATATATATATATATATACATATATATATATATATGTATATATATACATATATATATATATATATATATATATATATACTATATATATGCATATATATACACACATATATATATATACATATATATGCATATATACACACATATATATATATATGCATATATATATATATGCATATACACACACATACATATGTATGCATATATACATACATATATATGCATATATACACACATATGTATGCATATATACACACATACATATATATGCATATATACACACACACATATATATGCATATGCACACACATATGCATAAACACACATATGCATACACACACATATGCATACACACACACACATATATATATATATGAAAAATATATAAATATATGAAGTTAATACATTTGCTGTGAATATTGAATAAAAATACGTGGGCATAGAAAAAACAGACGAGTCATGATAGGGTTGAAACAATCATCAGGAGACCGTGAAAATCAGTATTTAATTTCCAGTCTTATTTTCTGAACTTGGCGGGAAATTCGGAACTTGCTTAGCTACAACAATCACTGACAGCGTTGAACATGCTCACGCGCATGCGCGTGATGAAATGAACAGCGTGATTTTCAACCATACAGGACAAAGACCTCTTACTTTCTGAAGTGATTTAGTATTTAAATGTTCCGACTTGAGGCTCACTAATCCGATATAAGGTGTTATTCGCTGTCTGGATGATGCTTCTTTACACAAATCCGAAATAAAATCTGGCTATATGAAACCGAGGGATATAAAGTCTCTCTCTAATTATATATATATATATATATATATATATATATATATATATACATATATATACAAACACGCAACACACACACATATATATATATATATATATATATATATATATATATATATATATATATATAAACACACATATGTATAATAGAAAGAAACAATTAAAAAAATACTTGCATTTATTTGGAATATATCGTGGATTTTTCATTAAAATCTGACAATAATCTGATATTTGCGATAATTTCAAAATCAGTGAGTTTTGCATGCACAAATTTAGCAATAAAAGCAAGAATCAAAAATATGTTTTAATAACAAAAATCCTTTCATCTTACCTATTAACAATATCAAAAATTTTGACGAGAAAGAGTGTATGTGTATGTGAATGAGAGAGAGAGAGAGAGAGAGAGATAGTGCTTGAAAGTAATATATATGCAAGAAATAACAGCATAAACTTATGATTTAATTCAGAATATGAACGTAACATACACAAACACACACACATAATATATATATATCTATATCTATATCTATATCTATATCTATATATATATATATATATATATATATATATATATATATATATATATATATATATATATATATATATATATATATGTATATATATATATATATATTATTAGGCAATAAATTACAACACGTAGCGTCCTCCATAATTTACATTACTTTACCACATTTGGCCTAATAAAAATATTAACGCGTTCTTAACTTTAAAATTTGAGAACTAAAGGATATTTTCCTCCACTTTCTTTATTTCTGTTTATAAATACCAGTTGTAAAATTAACGAAAACTTTGGTAATGAACTGAACGTGCATGCGCATATAAATTCCTTGGAGGAGTTTCTAACGCATTACTTATCATCTCTCAGTTGCGTCTCTGTCTTTGAGCAGAGTGTGCTCAGGGCCTACTCTGTCAAAGGACTGAGGGGCAACTGAAGAAAATTACACTGAAAAGTGTCCAGCCCTGGGGAACAGCTGCCCGCGGCCGTGCCTTCTCATTGCACCAGAGAGGGGGATCAGTACTCGCACCGAGGCCAGCGGAAACGACGGTTACGGGGGCTGTGGGGAATTTTTGTCCCTAGTCCGGTTGTACGCACTCGGGTCCCCACTTTAAAAAAAAGACCTTGTGTCACATCTTCTCCTAGTGGGGGGAACGAATGAATTCCACACGCACTCGTGCGCGCGCATAAACACACACACACACACACACACACACACACAATTTTATGCAAGCAAACATACATACATGGATATACATATTTGTACACATACACATGTGGATCATTCCATCTGAAATCAATCAACGGCCACAGGTAACACTCTTTGCGAAGATTTCCAGGTATTCTACAATGAAAATTCTTGATAAGTGAAACATTAAATCTGCATCTTTAATGGTTTCAGAAACAGACCATCGTGAAATTGTAATTCTTATTTGTATTTTGCTAAATAATGTTTACACGAAATTGTGTCAATTATAACTTCAAGGGTATTGCATGGACAGATTTGAAACTTGACAGTAATAAATGCTATTTACTAAACATTACACGAATACAGGCCTCTTAGGTGTGTCTTATGCACTCTTACCATTATATGCACCTTAAATTGCCGAAATACAGAAAGGTATTTTTGAGATCTCAATTTCAAAGTATGTCAGATACGGCACCCAGTTTAATTTGTCACTTATGGCCTAATTGATTATTTTTATGTAGTAACGATATTAATCCCTGTTCTAGGTATTTGCGTGTTACTGTTTGGCTATTGCTTAATTTTTAACATCGTAAATTATTTTAAATGATTAATGCCTTGATTCTATAATTTTTGGCATATAAAAGTTAATAGTTCAAATATATATTTTATTTGATGTATATATTATGTAAAATATATATTTGTGTAAAAAGCAGTAAAACTTATCTGATGGTAAATGTATACATCATGCTTATTCAGTAATGTATATATCTGCATATACATATAATAAGCAACATATATATATATATAATATATATATATATATATATATATATATATATATATATATACATATATATATATATATATATATATATATATATATATATATATATATATATATATATATATATATATATATATATACATGTATATATATACATATATATACATTTATATATATATACATATATACATGTATATATATACATATATATATATATTTATATATATATATACATATATATATATATATATATATATATATATATATATATATATATAAAATATAAAACGTTTTTGGTTGTATATATTGATATATATTTGTTTTTATATTTCATACACGTGTTTTGGTCTGGTCTCACATATATTTTATATAACATTAAAAATAAATTAATTTTCTATATTCAATAATATTCTCGATATGAGACATTCTGTTTACGTGTGTGTGTGTGTGTGTGTGTGTGTGCGTATGTGTGTGTGTA